TTGTGTGTACGTGTGTGCGTGTAAAAAGCCAGTGTTGTCTGCAGACAGTGGCGAAGAGGAGAAGGGAGCAGCTCAACATGACCTCAGGCTCTGAGACATAAAAAAAACTTTAAAACTGCTGAGTTTTTGATTAAAAAATGTGAGATTTTCTGTTTTCATGACTCAAATGAGGACATTTTATGTAATTCTACAGACAATCAGTACAAGGTTTCAACATTAGTCTGTTGAAAGTGAACTTATTTTAGGATTTTCACAGTTTTATCATGACATTTCTCTGACCCGGCAGTTCAAGCAATACACCGAGAAACTCAAACAATATACTTGAACATGAAATACAAGGCAGTGATTGGTTCGTGTCGGGTTTTTTTTAAATGTCATCCAGGATTTGCTTTGCGGCACAGCCAAGTGTCGCAAATCAGCTCTAAGACTGACACTTAAGAATTACTCCTACACTTCGCTTAAAGTAAGACTGAGATGMTTGATAACTGACCTTTACTCTCAGCTTTTAACTAAGAACTTTTTTACACTTAAGTCCACCCTTAGCAGCATTCTTAAGAGTAATTCTAAGAAGTTTTATAAATACGGGCCCAGATCTTTTGAAGTGGGATTTTGTGGAAAGGTTACAAACAATTAACATCTTACTTATTATAGATAACTCAGTGAACAGCCTCAGTATGAAGGAATAAAGTTTAATTTTGACCAGATGAAGTTGGATTGCACCTACACTCTGAGACCTGGATTTAAAAACTTAAGTGTCAAAGCAAAAGACCGCTGTGTACATGAACATACAGTTTAATTTTTTTTAAAAACAGCGTTTTATGAACAGGGCCTAATAACAGAACAGCTAGTCCGAGCAAAAGTAAAACAAAAATTGGACCTCTGCTATCATAAAACAACTGTAATTACAAAGCTTTCGTAGTGGTTAAACACTTACATTGCTGTCAGTTTTGCATGACTCGGGTATTTACACAGAAACTTTTGGTTACTGACAAGCATATAGGAGCAGTAGCTGCACTTCTGGTGTAACCTTTGGCATAATAATAAAATGTATATGTTTATATATGTATTCACATTTACAACAATGACCTGAATATTACTTTGAACTGACAAATGTCCAGTTTGGTCAAAATTAAACTCTATTTCTCAAATCAGAGGACATTTAAAGAGCTTTTACAACATGTATGATAGTAATTGTTTAAAATCGTTCCACTTCAAATGATCTGGATTATCCCTTTAAGGAGGAAAATTCAAGTTAATGCTATTTCTGATAGTAGCTTGCAGCAACCTCACCTGGCTTTCTGCAGCACCTGCTCCATAACCACACGCTTCTGTTCATCTTTCACGTCTTCATTTATGTCTGTTCCGCCAAAAATGACGCCAAAGGGCACATGGACATCTATTGCAAAGAGTAGACATCACACAAAACTGTAATTACATTTATGAGAGCAGGTAGAACAGGTCCAATGTTACTATAATCAAAAGCAAATTACTGAAAGTGAGCTCTTAAGTAAACCCATGCAACAGTGAGGATGTTTACCCAGCAGGAGTCTGCCAGCTTTGAACACGTGAATGGCCAGTGCTCCTTCATATGGAGGATCCCTGTTTACCAGATGTGCCACCTCAGCAGGTGACTGAAATTCCCCTGCATCTCTGAGCTCACAAGTGTGCCCTGCTGATTCAATATAAGACCTGAAACATAAAACAAAAACATCCGGCTATGGCATGCAATAGTGTACAACTCAGTGCTTTTACACCAATTTACACATACTGTAGATATAAATAAGTTTTATGCTCCAAGTATTATGTTTTCTATTTTATCTTAATATTAAGATAACACAAATTAGAACACTCAAATAAGAGTGATTTCAAATAAGGGCATTTGCATCTTTAGATATGAAGTAGTTTCACTAAAGTACAGGATGTGAGCACTTCCTCCACCACTCATGACTTAAAAGATCACATGTTTGAACCGAGTTAGAGAACAAAAAAAAAAAAAGCCACGTGATCATGAAGGCTGATTCATAAAATGAATGCGCTGCTGCCTCTCTTTTCACGCAGCTAACTCACGAGATTAGTTAACTATTAGCGATGCTATCARCTGGCTTACATGCTAATTAATAAGGCAGAACAGCTGTTAACTCACAGACAGCAAATTACCGTATTCTCTCGGCTGTTGTGTGGTTCCCGGTTTTGGGGCTGAGAGGGGCGAGAAAGAGTAATTTCATTATCGCCACACAAAGGCTGCTGTGTCCTAACTGGTGAAAACGACACARCAACCAGCAGGACCTCCGAGTTTCAGCTGAACAACCTGAACTCCTATCACATTTCTTGGACTCATGCCCGTAATGCTAACTGCGAGCTGCTACTTAACAGYTTATAAGCGCACCACGCTTCTATGTTTACAAGTCCGTCTGCAWCATTAGTCCCTGGAAACACAACATGCACCGCTGAAGTATATCATTCACAACCTCGCCAAAGGATTTCCTTGTTATTCATCTGTTTCTGGGAAGTTTTTTCCACTGTGTAGCCAATTACCTACAGCAAAAAAGTAATTTTAAAATAACGCGGAAAACACGAAATAGAAGGAGGAACCAACACTTCCTTGTCTTGTGGGTGCGTCGCATGCGTACACTGAACAAATCTACAAGTCATGCGGATAGAGCATAGAACGTCGCTTTACAAAAAATTGGTGTTAGCATTGTAGTTGTAGATCAGCTTCGCAGCCACGCAAACCTGATAGTTTGTTCTTGGGGCTGTGTCACGCGACAGTTCAGTGACACTGTTTTTGTCGACTTCCAGTTCTCTTTTGGAAAAATTATTTACACAAGACAAGAGAAACGAGATTTGAGCGGTTTGCATTAAACATACTGAAGGAGGCAACTGAACAGCGTCTATTTTATCGATTGAAGGTAATGTAAAATCGTAAGTTACAGCTAGCTTGTTAAAGTGCTTATTAAAACAGTAAACTTTATGCCATAAATGAGAAACTATCGAAGAACAGTTTAAGATTAATCACGTACGATTTCAGCACTGTTACGTAATTTCTGTTTAGTATATTGTCACTGAATGTTTAGTTTACCTACTCAATTCTATTTGTATTCTCGCCCCTTTAGGTTTGAACTCACTTTCAATCTGTTCTCGTCTAAATGGCTAACAACAGGGATGCCGAGGAGAGCACCCCTCTGTTRGACTCAGCTGACAGTCCTTCACCACCATCAGTCTTTCAGGGAAGGAGACTCGCATGCGCCTCAGTCCTGCTTGCTGAATCACTGGAAAGGATTGCATTCTACGGCATCACGTCCAATCTTGTTCTGTTTCTCAATGGTACTCCTTTTTATTGGCAAGGAACCCAGGCGAGTCAGGCACCCTTGGTGTTCATGGGAGTAACTTACCTGATTTCACCTTTTGGAGGCTGGTTAGCAGACGCATACCTTGGAAAGTTCTGGACTATCGCCTTAAGTTTAGTCCTATATTTTATTGGCATGCTGTTTTTCCCCATTATTTCAAACAACGACACCAGAATACACCTATGTGGAGAAGAGAAAGCATTTCCAGTGCAACCTCCTGAATGCACAAACAGCACCTTTCCCCCTAATATAAACTGYCCYCTCCGTGACCCTTATTGTAGCCCAGTAATCTATGTTGGACTTTTCCTAATTGCACTAGGTGTGGGCACTGTAAAGTCCAACATCACTCCATTTGGAGCAGATCAGGTAAAGTATGAACAATRTATTTTTCACAACATTCTTAAAAGTAGGCATGATGTTTCTCGTAGGTTARAGCTTCTGATTATTAAAGTGATTTGTTATTTGTCTGTGTAAGATGGGGCATGCAGCGTGTCATTATAGAGGTCAGCTGTGATTGGATATCTCATGCACAGTGACGTGTTGCTGAGATAAGTGTGTATAAGTGCCCCCTTAACATCGAGATGTCAAGCTTCCTCTTCAGGACTGATAGATTGTTTTAAAAAATGTCCTTGTTTACATGTTCATGAGACAGAAAACATACAATTCCAAAACATGACGTTTCTACCACCGTGCTTCACATTTGCCATTGGTGCCCTAGTTTGAAAGAAATATCAGTGCTCTGCACAAACAGCCCTACTTATACAAAAAGTAAATAAATAAAAACAATTCTACTCGTGTTGTAAACACATGATTCTGAAAAGCTTTTTTTTTGCTTTAAGTGCACATTTGTACTTTAGTGGGTTTTTATTTTTTATTTTTTTGTAAAACTTCCATGAAGGTTCTCTTTCTTTAAGATTGTAGACACATGGACTGTGGTACCTCCATTTACAAGAGATCAAGAGATACAGATGTTTGTTTGTTTGTTTGTTTGTTTTCCCCCTTTTTATTTAGGAATTGTAAGGATCAGAGTGTGTTTATTTTGGGTTAAATATTTTGGGGTGGCCGGTACACACAGAAGAAATCATTTGAAGATGGTCACTTGAATTTTTTCACTTTTAACTCAGGATTCTTTTTTTTTCCTGAATGTTTGAGAAAGCTTGTTATACCTTTGAATAAGGAGGCAAATAATTTAGAGCTAAAAATAAACAAAGTCTATGCAGGTTTACAGTAAACAAGATACCCTTGCGACTTCCTCACTCTCATTTATGGATTTGAAAACAAAATTATTAATATTAGTGGGATCAGAGATTTATCCAAATTCTTGAACACTTATAATGATATTATGAACTGTAGATGGTGGGACACAAGTGATTTACACAATGATACCTGCCTTTCATAGTGGTGGGCAATAACTAGATTGTAATTTGTGTTTTATCATTATATGTGATCTATAAAAGAAATGCAGCATTCTAATTTTGCACAATAGTTTGGTCTCTAAGTGTAGGAGCATCAATACTTTTTTATGCTCATAGATAAAAGACATTTTTCCTTACGCTGATCAAACCGTTTCCTCTACAAGGACAAACACAAGTTGAATGGATTAGTGCCATTTTGAGAACAATTGTATTTTCTTACCAAGAGCTGCAGATTCTCGATGAATGAGCATTACATTTGGTAGTCTTTTATTTTTGTATAATCATCCCAATAGAAAGAAAAAAAACTTTCTTTCATGGCACATTTTACGCAGTTTCTGTGCTTTTTGCCATGCCATCTACTCCTGTTGAGTGAAAAATCTATAGCTATTTAGCTATAGATTTTTCACTCAATGATAAATTGAAGATCATTTTACTTCTTTAATCAAATTTGAGTTCATAAGCTAATCACTGTCTGCTTTATATACAATACAATGCTATTTTCTCTCAAGTCTTTCAGAAATGTAATTTTAAGCTTTGAAAAATAGCATACCAAAACACATATGTCTTTTGACTCATAATGGCTGCTAGTTGATATCCAAAACAAAATATATTGATAGCCTGTGTCCTTTAATAAAGAAGAGGACGCTCATTTGGTAGTGAAACATCAGTCTCTTACATAGCTTGAATAAAGAAATTTGTTCTATATTTAAGCAAGTTCACTTATGTTGGACCTTACCAGAACATAAAATCAACCATTATTACAGTCATTTATTGTTTTATTAAGCCCTATTTTCTGAGCCCATCTGTGAAGCAGAGCAAAAGAGTGCTGCAGCTGCTTTAGTTGACACAATTTTAACCCATAAACTATGAGCTGTAGTGAGGTCCTTGCTGCTGTGAGCCCAGGAAATTGACAAAGAGGCCAAACATCCTTGGTTTAGTCAAAGATTTGCCTCCATTCTGATTTGCAAGGCAAACATTCACTATCGATGACTCTGAGTGCAGATAATGTGTAGGCGTCATAGATGTGAGAGAAGGGTTGAAACCTTTACAGCTCAGATGTGACAAAACTTTAGGCTTTAGAGATTTTAGGTAAATATGCTGCATTTAGGGAGTAAAAAAACAAACAAATGGAAAAAAGTATTTGTTAAGAAAACATGTTGCGCAGTTCATTCAAAGTGACAGTGGAACACTTCACTTGATTAATCTCACAGCAAAACAAAACTTGGCAACAATACCAGATAATTGGGACTTTTTCTGTGAAAAGCACACACACATTTGCAAATGCGCCTGACCATCTAGTCATGCAGCTACATTTTGCATGGTCAGTTTTTGAAAATAACTGCCTTTCTTTGTGTGCATGGCTTGAAAAACCTTGGACGCATACACATTGTACTCATCTTGGCCTGCCCTGCATTGTACTTACCTTGGCAGCTGCCTACACATTTATGATTTAATCTACTTTTAAAATGAAGATGGGCAGATTTGGACTCAGCATGTTTTTAGAGCTGGACATTTAGAGCTGTAGCCTTTCTGGCAGAGGAGAAGTTATGTGCAGGTGTCAAAATACCTCCAAAGCACTTTATAAAAAACTTAATTCTTCAAATACCCACTACAACTCTGTCAAACCAGAATCTCATTTAGCGGTGACTATTGGTGACTCAATGATTAAAGTTGTAAGAAAGTTCTCAAATTTGTAGTTGCTGTGTTACTGGTTTCTAAGTGCAACCAGCAAGCTGTGTGGTTGGGCTGGACAATATTGGCAACATTTTATCAAATTTCATTGTGGCATTTAGCCGATAACCACTATTAGGATGGTTAATAGACAATTGCACTTGCATGTAGCCAACATTCTGGCCTTGGTCTGCCTTTTCTGACTTTCCGTTGGTTAAACAAGTTTGTAGGGTTGGGGTTGGGATTAGTTGCTCTGTGCTGCCTTCTACCAATGGGCCCTTGATATTGACAGTATGTCACACACACACATACTTCATCAAGTGACAAATATTAATTGCTTACAGTTTTTCAGATGATTATTTTCACACAATTTTGCCCAACCTGACTGTGTGAATATACTGTATTCTTTGTGGCCACTTTTTGAACAAGGCCGTAAACATTAATTTGGTTCCCACCTCTGCTCACATCCTACACATCGCATCCCACAGCAATTTTTTTGTAAACACCTGCATTGAGGTTTGGGGCTCATGGGAGAAACTTCCAATGAAGCTGCAAGGAAACTCTGCGCCCTTTCTGGTTGATAACAGGAGAGGTTTTTTTTTTTTTTTTTTTTTTGTTTCAAGGGATCCCCAATTAGTTGTAACATTAGACTTTATTTAATAAACATATACTTTAACTGTAAAATAAAGACTGTAAAAATACTGCAGGGTGTTTAGTTTTTATAATTTTTAAACTAAAAGTTTAAAAATATATTGCACGGATGGGGCCATTTTATTTACATGGAAAGCATTCTGGGGAAATGATGACATCAACTAGGTCATTGGCACAAGGCTGCTAGCGAGCTATACCCACCCTGAAGGTTAATCTTGGACAATATCTGACGATCGACTCTTTTAAATGAAACCAGAGAGCGTTGACAGAGAGGAGAAGGTAGAAATGACTCAGCCTGTAACTGAAAATATGGATGGAGGACAACAGAGCTGCTTCATGGAAGAAGAACCTCAGCTTAGCCTGTTAGCTTTAGCATTAGCCCCAACGCTATCACCACATATATGTATTAGCTCAGCGCTACACATTCTCCTCTCATCACTGAGGTCCTCCATCCACATGACAGAGAGGGGAACACAAAAATGACTCAGCCTGCAACTGAAAATATGGATGGAGGACCTCAGTTTAGCTTGTTTGTCGCGCTAGCACCGAGCTAATACATATAAGGCAATATAGCATGGGCACTAGCGCAAAGGCTAACAGGCTAAGCTGAGGTTCTTCTTCCATGAAGCAGCTCTGTTGTCCTCCATCCATATTTTCAGTTCCAGGCTGAGTCATTTCTACCTTCTCCTCTCTGTCAACGCTCTCTGGTTTCATTTAAAAGAGTCGATCATCAGATATTGTCCAAGATTAACCTTCAGGGTGGATATAGCTCGCTAGCAGCCTCGCACCAAGGACCTAGTTGATGTCATTATTTACCCAGAATGCTTTGCGTGTAAATAAAATGGCTCTGTCTGTGTTAAAATATATTTTAAAAAATTTACGAAACTAAACAGCCTACAGTATTTTTACAGTCTTTATTTTACTATTGAAATAAATGTTTATCAAAAAAAGTTTAATGTTACAACTAATCGTGGATCCCTTTCACAAACGCTTTGATATACATTTTGTTTTGCAAGTGCAAACAATTTATACAGTGTCAAGTTATACACAAATACTATACTTAAAGTTTTCCATATGGTAGCATAAAAATAAAGTGTTGGTATTCACCAAAACAAAAAACACTAAATAAATAAAAAATCCAGCGCTGTAGAGTTACAGAAACTAAATTGAGATAGATACCCAACAGGTTCCAGATGTCCGCAATAATTCAGTGACTCTTTCAAGAAGTTTGTCTTGCAGATGTTTTGAACACACTCAAACTCTATGAAGCACAAGACTCATGCAAGAAAATGAGACATTTTCAGAATCAGAAACTGTTTTATTGCCTATGTCAATGAACAGGATTCACAGACTAGGAATTTACTTTGTTATAAAGGTACAATAGGTATCAAATAAAGCAAATGAAGAAAAAAAAAACAAAGAATAAAGGAAAAATATAATAAAATACATAAAACATATGTACACCAGTTCAATATAGTAATTGAATCAGACAATATATTTGGAGTAGTGCCGTTAGATCCAGAGATAAAAGTGACCAGAAAACAATATAGTCAGAGTTGCGCAGTTCAGGAAACCAGTAATAAAGTGGCCAAGGCAGAGTTATAGAGTGACATGTTTTAAATGTTCAAGAGTCTGATGGCAGAGGGGAAGAAACTGTTCTTATGGTGGGATTTTCGAATTACCCTCATGAATATTGTTTTGCAGTTTGGTTCAACAGAGTGAAATACCAGCTTTAAGCCTAAATATGTGTACCAATCTTTTGAACCTTTTGAATGGCTCAAAAGCATATTGTGTCCTCGCTGCAGCATAGTTTAGCTACTTTGTTCTGTGGAACTACTCAATGCTATTATTTCTTTCTGTGTGTCATCATAGGTGAAAGACAGAGGACCCGAGGCCACTCGAAGATTCTTTAACTGGTTCTATTGGTGCATCAATCTAGGAGCCATTCTGTCTCTGGGAGGTGTGGCCTACATTCAGCAAAACATAGGCTTTGAGGCTGGCTACATCATCCCCACTGTGTGCCTCGGCGTGTCCTTCCTGGTGTTTCTTGTCGGACGGACAGTTTTCATCAGAAAGCCCGCTGATGGCAGTGCCTTCTCAGATATGTTTAAGATCCTAGGCTTTGCCTGTTGTTCAAAGAAACCTAAGGAGCCTAACTTGCTTTGGTGAGAGCGTTTTTGACTATGTATCGGTTATTTCTGAGTAATTTATTTTACTATTGGGGCAAAAAAGTCACACAAATTTAAGTTTTCAGAGTTGTGAACCCCCTTGATAATATACAGCACACTCAGTGCCAGACGTCTATAAAATGTTTTATAGAAGTTTTTAGTTTTAGGGAAGTACAAAAATAAAAGTACTGAACAATTGAGCTAAAAATAATTGTAACATAGATCTGGAGGTTTGATTGCCACGTTTTTTTCAGCTGTCGCTTTAGTGTTTTTCTCATAGTTTGTTTTTAATGTGAGCTGGGAGGCAGCTTAAGCATGTTTAGATATTCCTTTATCTTAAATCTTCTCTTGATCCCCTTCTATAACTCTCTTTCACTGGTCCATTTCTTCATCTTCATTCCCTGTGGCGAAACGGTATTCTGAAGGGTTGAAACTTGACTTTGAACCACAGTATCACAAGCAGCTCAAACCCTTGACATTGAATATTTTAAGTTGGACAATCTCACAGCCTTTTAAGAAAATCTTAAGAGGGCCTTTTCTCGAGAGATGAGGATTATAAGATTTAGTGTAAAGTTTCTTTTGTATTTCCAGAAGTGCCATTAATAAAGAGTGAGATTTTCTCAAGGTCTTTTACTGCAAGGGTTTAAGACTAATTCTACCATACTTTGTATTTAATTATTTTCTATATTAATTATATACTTCAATTACACTGTAGTGTTTAAGTATTTTTTTTCTTCTTTGTCTATAAAGCAACAAACCGACTCTGCTTGATAGTGCAAAAGTGATCTATGGAGGAAAGTTTCCAGAGGAAAAGGTGGAGGAAGTGAAAGCTTTGATGAAAGTCCTTCCAGTGTTCTTTGCTCTTATTCCATACTGGACTGTGTACTTTCAGGTAAGAATTATTTGTGTTTCAGAAGTTAGGGAAACAAAGGTAGAAATGTAATCTGCCGATACAAACTTTCTAAGTTCAAATATATGTGATGTGTATGTGTGACAAAGTTACACAGACTATATGGGAAATAAAGTGGAGAATTACTTCATCTCTTTATGCTACAGATGCAGACAACATACGTCCTGCAGAGCCTCCATCTGAGGATTCCTGACACGGCCTCAAACATCACAGATGTCTCAAATCCGGTAATGAAAATCGGAGATAATCTTTGTCTACTTTTTTTGTATGATAAAAAGAAATCAATGCAGTCTGACGCTGTGGGTTATTACTGTAAACACACACACACACACACACACACACACACACACACACACAC